GGGGGGGGAGAAATATATTGAAAAACCGGTATCGGTGCATCCCTAATAGATTCCTTCTGTTTTAAGAAAGCTTTACTGCACTAAGCAATGTAAAAAGAACCTAAAAAAAGGACACAATAGGCAGCAGACAACCTGTGAAAGGCTTCCTCAAATTCTTTTATTGCAGAAACAAAAAAGACAAATTGTACACAAAAAAAAAAAAGAAAAAACAAACACACAGACATAAAACAATGGGAGGGAAACGTACATCTGAAAAATATTCTTACAGCAACGTGCAAGAAATAAAAGGTTGTGTTTCTGCTGGGAAGGTTTCGGTCTCCCCATCGATATCCGGGTCCGGAGAGGACGGTCGTAGTAGGAGAAGTTATGCGTTCACGTTTTGTGATACATAGGATAAAACAAGTCTAAGCGTTCTCTAAGAGATTACCTATAAAATCACCTTTATTGTCACAGATCATTACAGAAAATATAAATAACACTGACGACAAAAACGCCAAAATACGTTTACTGATTCCGTACGGTATTGATATGCGAGAATATCTGGGAATTCTGGGATTTACTCAGAACCCCTGGGTTAGGTCTAGAAGAACAAATACTGCGCGGAGACATCTGAGAGAATGGAGATGGGAGTACAACCGACCACACGAAAAACAGGACACAACTGGACCATGAAGGCGATACGATGATGGGTTTGAGGAAGATCAGATGGCGTCCGCACCAACGTCTTTGAGTGCTACATCTGGTACCATTGCTCCTGCTGGTAGGGTTAGCAGCATAAAGTACATGGAAAAACGGTTTCTTCTACGACTAAGGCAAAGCAATTGTACCACAGAGTTCATGTGTAACAGTACCTGGGTACAGGAGGACGGCCAATGTTTACCCTGATCTTACGATTCGTAGGCTCAACTGATCATAGTCTTGTGGTGGGAATGGTGCCCGATTCACAGGCAGCAAAGACATAAAGGAAATTAAAATACAGGAAATAAAAGCACCATAAGAGGTTCTGTTATTATCAGTTTTGTAAACAGGTCAAAGATGCCTGAAAGGAAGTCATAGCCCTCTAAAGATGGAGCCCCTCATTCATAGTGGGGTGTTCCAGCCACAGTGGTGCCTCTGAAGCCTGGTTATCAAAAAACCTTCTGCCTCTTCATCTCAGTAACCCCTCCCCTTGATGACCCCCTGTCAACCTTGATGAACCCCGCAGTGGCGGAACTACCGCCGGTGCAGGCGGTGCGGGCGCCCGGGGCATCTACGGAAGGAGAACGCTGTGTTTGTGGGGTTTTTTTTGGGGGGGGGGGCCCAAAAAAAATCTTGCACCAGGGCCCTTTGTTCCTTAGCTCCGCCACTGGAACCCCGTCAACCTTGATGACCCCCGTCAACCTTAAGTTCTGTGCACTGTGATGACCCTTGTCCACCCTGTTGTCCTGTCCACTTTGATGACCCCCGTCCACCTTACTTCTGTGCACTGTAATGACCCTTGTCCACCCTGTTGACCAGTGTCCACTTTGAGAAGTTCAGTTCACCTTGATGACCCCTGTCCACCTTGATGATGCTTCAGACATCATAGGCTCTGACAGGTTGACCTCCCACTACGTGTAAGCATGGACACTACTACGAAGAGGCATGGCATTGTGACATAAGGCAATTGCTCAAACTACACAGTGGCTTGTGTGCAGCTTTGTTCGGCCACCGACAGCTTCATCTATTGGCTGCCTTGGTTGGTCATCAAGTAGCAAGGTCCCCCAACAAACAAGCTGATCTTAGCAAAGCACCAATGCCTAAGCAGAAAGCGGGCCCCCTACAACTAAGGTAATGGGGCCCTTTTGGACGGATTTGTGTTTCCTTTGCCCGTTTACAAAAATCTAATATATTTAAAGTGTATCTAAAGCCAAATAATGTTTTATTTGATTTTAGGACGGAGTATGGTAGGTTGGAGGACCCCGGCCAGGTTTTTATTGCTGTCTAGGCTGGAAAGATTCACATTCTCTAGTTTGTATTGGGGTCATCAGGAAGTTATGGGAAATCCAAAATTTTACAGCCGTCACCAGAATAGGATGCGAGGGGAAATATTCCAGTGGTCACTGTCTAGGAGTGGACTTTCCCTCAATTTTAAAGACAGCCCTGTCACTTCCTGTTGAGTCTAAAAGACAGGACGTGGAGAAAAATCTCCCCAAAACAAACCCTATCCTGCTAAAAGAAAAAATTGGTTTCAGATCTTAACCTTGAAGCCCACTTGGCATTTTCAGGAAGAATGTAGACCCTTTGTCCACCAAGGCCAGAACCTCCACAGTAAGGCTCCAATAAGATAGCGGGAAGGTCGGGTTTGAAGCAATGGACAAAGGGAAATAAGGCATTTACATATAAATAGGAGACGTTACACATGCACGGCAAACGCAACCCTTCTCCACAAGGCTGACCTAGCAGCAACGGGTCAGGAGTTTCATCAAAAGTCGGACAAGGCCCGAAGGTGTCGAGCTGGCCCAAAACCGGGGCACTCAAATTTATTTTAAAAAGACCAGTTGTCAATTTGTCGGCGGCGATGAACCTACAACAAGTCTATTTGCGAGCTACCAAGTTCATCCAGGGGCCACCTCTTGTCCAAGGTGCAGCGTCGGCCATTTTGTCTCCTGTTGGGGGCGGAAGATGCGCTGGTTGCCGGCAGCCTCCACCCCGCCCATTGCATAGAAACAGTACGAGTCCGCGGCATCACCACTTCATGTCCACCCGCGCGGTGTTCTGGGATGTGGGGACGAATTTGGTGTGTAGCATTTCCTTGGATTTTTGCGACTCGGCGCCCTCCAGCCAGGTAGCGTACAGCTCCTTTATGTGCGGGTTACTCTCCGGGCTCTGAACCGGGACCTGGGTGTACAAGGCTTCCATCTCCTGTAGCTCCGCCCGCTCTGGTTTACCGTCCGCCGTCTGAGCCTGGCCTTTTCCGTTCAGGCAGCCTGGGGGGGAATAGAAAAGGAGTTATTTTATTACCGGTTAGCGTATTTATATTTGCGTTCAGGGATCAGTAATGGGGGTAACAGTGTCCACAGTTACCCCCATTACTGCCACAGAAACAGGACAGATAAGAAGATGCTTTCTACTGCACAGAGGTAGGGATCAATGACTGGTTCTGACTTCAGCCCTTCTACACTGGAAACATCACAGTTCAGCTTCCCCTTATGGGGCCCCCTCCTGCGCCCGAGCCCCACAGCAGCTGCACAGTCTGCTATGGTTATGAATAATCCACTGCTTCTGACCCACCAGTCTATGAACATGGACGGATCACCCATAACAGCCTCAGACATCCCATTCTATCAAGAGTCCGCCTGCTGGTGGAACCGGATACTGCTCTCTCAGGCCCGGGGACTGGCTAGTCAGACATACAGCACCGTGATGTAGGAGGAAGAGGAGAGAGAGTTGTGTGCATTGTAGTGTATAACCTAAAAGGGAGGTGAGGTGGGGTACACACTCCCCAGCACCATACAAGCGATTGGGTGGCTCTAGCCATTCGGGCACCAGTTGCACTGCTTACAGGTCTAGGATTCTTACAGGGAAGCCGCCATGATGAAAATACAGGAGGCTTCCATTGCCGATGAGCCCATTGGGTCATTCTCTGAATGCCGCCGTCTTGCCGTCCCCAATTATACCCGGCCAGCAAATAGAAGCCCTTTAAAGACACCCACCTCCGGGGCAGGCCAGGACCTCCACGAAGTGATAGTGGAACTTCCCCTTGCGCAGCTTCAGCACCATGTTCTGGATGTTTCGGAAGCCGTAGGCGGCGGCGAAACGCAGCACGGTCTCCCCGTCTTTTTCCAAGCACACTTCCTGGAAGTCTTTGTTCCTGCACAAAAAGGCCACACAAAGTTTGGAGGTCTGGAGCTATTGACTCTGCAGACAGTTGGCGACTTCTGCGCGTGACAGCATGCGCTGACCCCGCTCTGTCACGTTACGTGGCCTACCACTTCGTGGCTGAGTTGCTGTTGTTCCCAGTTGCTTCCACTTTGTTATAACACCAGTAACGACTTCCGGCGCCAGATGACTTGGCCGTGTCTCCCGGAGCTCTGTCCCGCCGATCGCCGAACACCCCCGAACCCAGCCGATCTTATCCTACAATAGTCACCGTCACCTACCCGCACAGCAGGGGATACAGTACGGTCTATGGATCGCTATCTTTCGCGAGCACAGCCGACCAGGAAAGCCTTGGAACAGTCTCTCACAGACGACAGGGACAAATCCAAGATGGCCGCCGATGTCACTCAGCAATCTGACCTAACGATGGATCTCTCTGGTGAGTCACAGCCACCTCCCCTACAGGGACAAATAGACTACCAGACATTGGCTGCAGCTGTTGCCTCCCACTTAAAGGCAGACCTGGCCCATATTATCGCAGACTCTCTGCAGCAGCATCTAGGGAAACTAAATGCAGCACTGACATCACAAGGAAATCAAATCAAGCAAGTTGAAAATAGAGTGAATGATCTAGAGGCGGCAATGTATATGGTCCTGTATTTTATCCTCGCCACATGTTGTGAACACATTCTGATTTCTTCATGAAAATGTGTCATCACTATGTAACCTGCAAGTATAATGATAATCGGCTCTGCCCAGGACTCACTTTAGCGTTTTATACGTGATCTCTTGGATGTCAGTACCGAAAAGCTCCTTGGCGGCATGCCGGAAGATGTGCGCGAGGTACCCGTCGGAGCTGGTGCTTTCGTGGCGCACAAATGCGCAGGTTGTCCCTCCGAAGCTTTAAGAGAATGAAAAAAAAAAAAAGGAATCAGAGGGGGAAGGGAAAAGAAGGAGGGGGGGTTATATCACATGAGTGGAATCCGCTGACTGGTCACATGGTACAAATCCCAATCAGCTGATTGAGCTCTCACGGTGAGGATATAAAAATGATTATTTTTTTTGGTTAGGTTTTGGGTTCTCTATACATGCTGGTGCACATTTTCCTGATTGAAGTGCATAGAGAAATTCTCCCTAGTGCCTATCCTGATGTGAAGACAGCACAGTCAGTATAAAACCACTAACAGGGTAAGCCATCAAGAGAGTAAATTGTATTTGTTGAATGGATCCTTCCCAATCTTGCCTCCATACTGCTGCTTTAATATGATGGGCAGCTT